CCTTATTTAAAGGACATTTTTGAGAAAAGTAAGGACGCGTGCATACTTCAACTCTAATTAAGTGCACATTTTTTTTTCAATATCCTATTTGTTTACTCAACGTCTTTAACTGAGCCAACCTCTTTCTTGCGTCGATCGCTCCAGGCATTTCTTGCAAATGAATGTTTCTATGGTAACGATAGTTTTTCGTGACTCCAAAAGTCAAGTGCAGTAAGAATATAATGTAATTTCTCTGAAATTCCATGATTTAGGATTGTTTTGTGTTTTCCCTCATGTAAATCTTCACCGGCCGTTTAGGTATTTAGACTTACAGTGTTCCTCCATTAATTGAGTTTTGAAACTTGTCGTTCTCCGAGGTTTATGCAAAGTTTGTACTTCTAGTAACTGCTCATTTGTGGGGATTTGGAAATCATATGTCCTTCATTTATTAAAATAAAGTCTACTTAAGTGAAAACAAGTCATAAAAGCTCAAAACAACTAATCTATTATAGACACCTTTTTTTCTGGGGACACTGCATGGCTCAGTTAAATAAGTGACTCACAACATACACATCTCTAATTATTTAATAATAAAAAAGGAAATTCAGGATATGAAGAATTTCCAGTCCAATACCTGAAGCCCTGGTTTAAAAAAAAAAACTACTGTTCACACGACAGTTTCAGGATGTTTCTTTTTGCAAAGAAGGTACTCACGTCACTCTAAATCATCTTATGTTTAAGATGTAAAATTCAAAGACGTGAAAAGAACAATGCTTCTTGCAAGAACTAAATTCACCCCATTTCGTTTTTTTATTTATTTTTTTCTTATTTAATAAATGAAAAGCACCCGTAACCTCGCGTGTTCACATTTGAGCTTATTTTCTTTAGATTAAAATATCGAGAGAATTGGAAACGAGTAGAAAGGGTGTATTTTACAGAAGGAGCGTTAAATGCAGTGCCATTAGGCAATGCAGTCAACTACATTTCGACAGGAAACTGCATGCACACTCCACAGTTTTAGAGGATTTAAAATCAATTCATAAATACAGCACATGATTGCAAGATCTGTAGATTTTGAAAACTGAGTACCTTTTCTCATGCATCAGAAGACAATGCCTATTGTTACTTGTCCAAAGCAGTAAGAGCTACAAGCGAATATCCCAAATAACAGACCACAGCCCATCAGAACCACATCTAAACCGCAACAACAGAGTGTACCACAGGAAGGAAAGGGGGAAAAAATCACTTTCTGTTGTGAAACTAGTCATCTGATGAATAGAAAGACTCTGTTATTGAAGAGAAAATAATATGAAATAGGCCAATCATCCCCCAACAACTGTCCCCTGTTACTTAAACTGGGCTTTTTAAATGTAAAAGCATGATTCAACAAAATAAGCAAGATTTTAAAGAATTGCTTCTCATATGTTATCCTGAAAAAAGTATGTTTCAGAAAACTACATAATAAAGAAAAACGTATGAATCATAAGATGGTATAATTTATAGCAAAGGTGACTTATTCATCATGAAACATCAGATCAAGTGATGTTGGTTGAGTTACAGACTACAGCTGTCATTATCCATTATTGAAAGATAAACACAGACAACAGTTTGACTCATCCATCAAAGATACCTCTAATTAAATTTTCTGCAAAATATATATACAGCAATAGCAGGGAGCTTATAAAAATTCAGGTCATTACATTCCACATGGTTCTATCATATGTAAATATGGTCTTTGTAATTTACAACAGAATTCTGAGGCTTTGATAAATATTTACGTAAACTTTAGGTTACCAATTTGAATAGTCTGAGACATCAAATCCACAAAATTGTCTTAAATTGACCACTAAGATATCAAAGCCTTAAGACTATTATTGGACTATTTATGTTGGATATATTTTTAATATTAATGTAGACAGAAGTAAAATGCAATAAACTAAAATAACACTCAAACTAGGTAGGAAACATAACAGGATATTGCAAAGAGATTATGTAGTTTCCGTTTAACTATTGCACTGCCCTGAGCAACTACTGTAAAAATACCCTAAGTGTTGATTAATAGGAATAGGAAAATAAAAATAAGGGAAATTCAGCAAAATAAGGAATTCACAAATTGTTCTGTGTGTACAGATGCTACTGACTTTGAGTCATGAACGCGGAATTAGAAATGAGCAAAGGTAGGGACAGTGACAGCAGAATTCTCCAATTCTCTTGTCGATAATTACTTTTTTTTTGCCAAAACACAGCATGAAACAAATGCAAACCAGCTGTGTCAGAGGGAGTGTTATACTTGGACATGAGGAAGCTTACCTCATGATTGTACAGTGGAAACTGCTGTTGGAAAGATAATAAAGGGATTAACTGGCTTTTTGTAGAGCGTTTGGTTTTAAATCAAAATGTCTCATCTGTTTCCTGTGCACAAATAGTTTAAATTCCAAAATGCCTTTGTCTATTACATACATGCAGCATACTCTCTCTCTCATACACACACACTGAAACTCACTCCCCATCCAAGCCATAAAAAGCCACAAATTCCACCCAGCTCTGTTGTACTCGGGGGAATGTGACAAGTAACGGTTGCTAATACTTTTCCATCTTGGATTGATTTGAAGAAAAACGGAATCAAAAGTCCCACGTTATGACATTCCGGTTAATGCCTGCATTTGCATGCAAGGTGCACTGTTCAGGATGCACATTCCGATGCACTGCCTAATTGCCCAAAGTGGTTCAAGAAAAGATTCCCTTGAGCAGTGAAAATTGTCCTGCTTGATGGGGCGCTGGACTGTTAAAATCACATGAGCAAACACTGTAATTGTAGGTTAGTTATTAGAACAGGTGTGGCTGTCCAGGCAAGAGATGGCAAGATTACTTTCACTCTGTTGGCATTATTGCGATGAATAAGGCCCTGATTGTACTTGTGCTCTGGTGTGGCAGACTACACCAAAACAGAGTGGCAATGTTGTACTGTACGTTATTTCTGCTTTATATCCTGGGACAGTGTCCAATGACTCTCCAACACTAAGCTTGATTGTTATGAGACAAGCATCTGGTAAACATCTTTAATCCATACAGCACTTTACTGCGAGGGTTTGTTTAGTTTCCTGTCTTGCATATCATTTGGCTCTGACATCAGTGCTGGATCGTATTCTTCACCTCTTCAAGCCCCAGAAGGAACTGCGGGAGATACAGCCAGCTTCTCTCCTACAAGGCATCCAATCCAGGGCAACTCATGCAGTAATACACACCAAAAAAACACTCACAAACCTAACAAAATAAACTGAAATAAACTACAAAATGAAAATCTCAGGACTTATCACACTTCATAGTTCCTACCACTCATTTGTTCTGACCAATATTAGAAATTAGTAAAAAGCTGAAGGTATGATTACTACAAAGATTTGCAGATACTCCTCCGCCTTTAAACACGTAAAACTACACAGCTATTTACTATTGTTACTATTGACTATATGTGTACTTCAATCATTTTTAATGATATGTTTGATTTCATGTAACCGATAAAGACCTATGCAATGCACTGCTGAACTTTTAATCAAATAACTGAGCGTGCTTTAAATTAGATAAAGACCTCCACCCATCACTCAATGTGGAACGCTCCCAAAGTGTCACCTCAGAGGTTTCGGTTTGCTAGAGGCAACCTGACTACACAATGAAGAGCTGCTGTCGCAAACCGGGGTTTGGAATTGGGAACTGGAGGATAAGAGGAACTCAGTGCAGGTCTTACTTTTCATCGCGAGTACAAAAAAGTTTCTGTGCAATATACAGAGATTCTATAGCACAGCTTCCTCCAGATTACACGCCTTTCTAGTAAATGCTTAAATCAACAGGCCATGAGTAGCCGCCATTGACTTAGCCACTGACAGTCTTAATTAGGGTGCATCAGAAACACTGGGATAACAGACCATACCTGAGTTTTATCGGAGCTGGGAAGCAGAAGCGATCAGTAATAAAACACATAATTCCAGCATGGCGTGAGTGTAAATACAGGTTTTAAGCGGGTGAGTTCTTGCACAATCTTTTGTCCTTCCTCCTCTTGGCCGTATGGCACCACATTCAAACTGTTACATTATTCTGAGCGGTTGGTTTGAATAAAAAGCCAATTCACTCAATCCTTTAGGGACTGCAAACCATTTAAATCTCCGATTTTAAGGGGTCAAGTGCATTCATCGTTTGGTTATGTTAACCAGATGTGTTCTAGCAAGTTGGATTTTCAGGATCTGAATCAATTCTACTTTTTTTTTTTTAAACAAAAAAAAGGTCAGAGAAAATAAATATCTGGTTTCGCCCATCACAAATGAGGGAATAGCTGTGTATTTGGTTTGAATCGTTATGACTTTTTAAAGGTTTTAGATTGGCTTTGTTTTCATCTGAGTGGCCAAAACACAAGCAGGGAACAGTGCGGGTCATTTGCATGCTGATTAGAGGAATCTGAGAATGCCCTGAGCAGGAGCAAGGCTTTTTCAAGTCCATTTCAACACCCTTTTTTGGGCAGAACAACAATATGTGGAGTTCTGTCATCCTAAAAAAAAAAAATAGAAAAGATCAACATATCCCGCCTCGAACATTTATTATGAAAACTCCAGGCATTCTGCACGACCACCCCTGCCTTTCAAAACTGCATTTACTCTCTCTGGTGAGAAAGGGAAATTAAAAATATAAAATAAAAGTATTCCCTTGGGAAGTCCCTGCACGAAGCATTTTTGTTCCCTTGCCTAACGTGCAGTGCTTTCATTTTGACATGGGCACACCTAAACCAATATTCTCTTGCAGCTAGCCAGTAGGCGCACGTGCCCTGCCCACCGTTCAGTACGTGAAATTGCCGTTTCAAACGCTTGCTCGCACCGGAGTCACTCGACACTGCAGACGTGGACTGGAGGGATTTCCAGCCTACAACATGCATGGAGAGCCACGCGGTTTATTGAACACCTGAAGGACAAAGCTTCCCCATAGGGGTGCTGTTGCCTGTGAGAGCAGCCGTCTTGAGTGCACGCGACTCGACTCACCATGCACTTGTTGGGTTTCTCCCCGGAGTGCACCCGCATGTGGATCAGCAGTTTGTAGCGGGCGTTGAAGGGCTTGTAGCGGCGGATGCAGCCGGCCCAGAAGCAGGTAAAGTCCTCCCCCTTCCGCTGGTCGATGTGCACCTTCTCGATGTGCCTCACCAGCTCCTCCTGCTGGTCGTAGGTGGCGCTGCAGTCGATCCACCGGCACACCTGCCTGTCACTCCCGCCGCCGCCACCGCCGCCGCCAAGGGCTGCCTCCTCCCTGCTAGCGGGTGGAGCGGGCTGGGACAGGGGCTTGGGGGGCAGCAGCGTCTGGGGCTGCCCCTGTAGGTGAAGCAAGGCCCCCTGGCTCTGGCTGACGTACTGGTGCAGGTGATAGGGGGGCGGCAGCACGCTGTGATGCCGCTGGTGGTGGTGGTGGTGGTGGTGGTGGTGGCGGCGATGAAAGAGGCCCTCTTCAGCCTGCGAAAACTCATCCACCGGCTCCTGTTTCAGAGAGCTGGCTTTCTGACAGCCCTCCAGCGGCCCGTGGCGCATCATATTGTTCACGCCGAAGCCGAAGCCCTCCGCCTGCTCCAGCGGGGGCACCTGCACCGGAGGAGGGTGGTGCTGCACGGGCAGCTGCTGGCGGCAGGCGCCGCGCTCGGCCGCCGCCGTGCTGCCAGGGACCAGGCAGGCTCCGGGGGACGGTAGGCCGCAGCACTCCTCCGTCTGAGAGCAGGCCTGGGGGCTGTGGGGCTTGTGGCTTCCCGCGAGGTAGGAGGAGATGCCGGGGGGGTTAGTCCGCAGCCCGTTGACGCAGGCGACCAGGGACATCTGGGAAGAGCAGATGATGGCCGTGATATCGATCCCCTCCGGCGCGGCGGCTGCCGGGGCGGCGGAGAGGCATCGCCTCTTCATGTTGCCTGCGTGGAGCAGCCTTGCGGAGTGACGGGAACTGCCGGCGGACAGTGAGCCCTGGGAGGAGCCTGCTTCATTATTCAACGCGTACGACGAGAGCGAGCTGGCGAATCTATTGTGGGCCAGTTCTATCTCGGGATGCTGAAGCCTGGCCAATCCCTCTCTCGCCCCGGCTTCCCCTCTGACTGCGCTCGTCAGGACCCCCGAAGCCACTTTGTAGCAGCCGGGGCTTTCCTGTTTAATGTGCTGGGGGAGGCGTCCGGCTCCATTTAAACAGTGGCCGCTGTCGTTGCCGATGCCCGGCGATGTCAAAGGGTCCCGAAAACCGGAGGACCTGTAATAGAAAAGCCCACAAAACACGCTCAGTATTAGCTGTCTCCCGCTGACAGACGAAGGCCAGAGCTGTCTGGGGTCTGCCAATCTGTCTTCTCCACAAGGTGCGCTTTCAGACTGGCGTGACGCTCAAACCCCGGGCTCCAGAGATCCAGCTCCTTCAGCCGGGACTCAGGGAGGCCATGTGAGGAATGTTGGACACACAGGAGAAAAACGACAGAAAAAAGAAATCCAATCATCTCGTTTTGTACAATAAAGTCAAACTCCCTGTTGGGCTGAAATCAGAAGAGCTGCACGCCAGAAAGCATCCATGCCTGGGCATTGCAAGTCAGGCTTAAAATAATACTGATACACGTTCACATCAAAGTGATGATGTTTAAAGTTCAATCAACAGTGGTGTTCTGGTTACGCTAACTTCAGTTCAGCTTTGTTTTCTCATTTGCTGAAAGGCAGAACATGGGTAACATGAGTTTCTTTAAATACGAGATAATCAAACTGTAAATGAGCTGAAGTGTGCTTCCCACAAAGAAGCTGCCCAATAAATAAAATAAACAGAGACTACTGTGAACGTAAAGACCCTGGAAAAACGGAGTGCAGGAAACATCTGTCATCGTTATTTTGTTTCTTTTCCACGGCTCTACGAGACCTGGTTGTAGTTTGCAAGCAGGTATGAATACGAATGAGCAGCAAAAGCCCCCCGTTTCTAGCTGAGCTTGGAGCCAACAAATGGATGTGAGCAGGAATTTAAGAACTGAGAAAGGAAAAAAAAAACTTTTTTTTTTAAATGAACATGGCTCTTTGTCTAACCCCATTGTGGCAAGAAGGGTTAAGCTCAGACATGTATGAAAATGAAATCAGTCTAGTCACCTGTGCTGCTGTAACAGCAGCCTCTGATGTTCTGCCCTTGACAATCCTCCTCATTATCGTGGGAATCTTCCTCGAATGAATAGCAAGGAGTTCATATTTCGCAATGTGTTGCTGTGATCTTCTGCATAATGATTCCTGTCAGTTCCCTCATTATAGATTTTGTCCAGAGCTCCTGAGAGATCTGAGAATTTTTGTTTTTCTTTTCTTCCTAAGAAAAGACGTGCTTTTGTCCGAGTCCTCATCCTTTTCCCTGCACATGATGGGACGCGATCAATTTAGTGTAAAAAGTCCCATCCTACTCCCTGTGCAGACAGAGTTAACATACTGTACGGGCCTGTCAAAGGAAATAAAAATTCTTCTTTCTTTAAAAGTTTATTGTCGGTTTGGCCAAAACTACACTGGAGAAACAAATATCTGTCCAAAATCATTTTAAAACTATTATTGAGGTCAGAGCGCTTAAGTAGGTACCGTCAAAGCTAATTATTTTAGCAGCTTCGGTTGAAATAACACTTACGGACAACTTCCTAATGAAACAAACTGACTGCTTACTGGTTCTCCTTTTTTCCCCCACAAGCCAGGTTTGTTTGTGCCGTGGAAATGTGAGTGGCTACCACTTTCTCAGTTTCGCTGCAGTGTCCAATTTGGCTCCGTGTCTTTTTTAACTCTCTCTCTCTCTCCAAACGATGCCCAGCAAAAATTCTCCCGAAACCAAAAAACGTCAAGTTTTCACATATCTCTTTTCCACATCGGGGTGCAACGACTAAACCTTTTTCTCTCTCTAGCCATTCCTGAAACAGGGAGCAAATCTTGCTCTGAAGCAAAATCTCTTGACGGTTTGCTGTAAAACCTTCACTGAGATTTGAATAAGCTGGTAAAAAAAAAACAGACTCTTTATTTCCACAGCTGTCATGAAAATGGAAGATGCATCTTTCCTTTACCTTTGTTTCCACACTGATCTTGGTTTCTAGGAGGCTGTCACTGATTAGTAAGAGGTCTGCAGGTTTCTAAGCAGCTCATGCGTCTGAAGTGAGAAGATGGGCACTGGGAAAGGGGCAACAGGCCAGAGTCTGGAGGTACCTTGTGTCTGAGAGCTCCACAGCTGGTAGACAGAGGCTCGGCGTGGTCCCGTCACAGTGCCCCCCTGTGGGCAGGCCCCCCGACTGGGCACCAGAGTTTTGGTGGGTCCGCGTCAGCGATCCCTCAGTCACCACCAGGTCCGGAGAGTCCTTCTTTCCCGAGATGTAAGAGCCGCAGTCTCCATTAGCTGTAACACACCAAGGCTGCGTGTGACCACATTTACATTTGCCAGTGCCGGTCAGGTTCTCACACGGTCTTTTATCTCGCACGGCTGACAGCGAGGGGCAGAACGCCACACGCACAGAGCAGCATCGCGGGAGACCAGCTATCCTCTATTATTAAGGCACAAAACGTCATTTTCAGGAGTAACATACGGTAGGTGGCTTGATATGGTTATATATCCATTGTAATGCATAAAGTTAAAGAGTGGGTGGCAGAGGCAAACAAAAACAACAACCAACCAACCAAACAGGCTTAATAAACCTGCTTTGTATTAAGAAAAACTTTCCTAAATGTTTTGTCTCACTTTTAAAAACGAACAGGCATCTGACGCAGAGACGCCTTCTCTGAGGCATGCTCTGTCTCCGTTATAAGCTGAAGTTGACGGAGGTAAAGAGTGTTCATGAATAACTCCTCATTTCAAGCCCAATGAAGAAACAGACCTGCTCTTGTGCATGAGCCGACGGCACAGCCTCCCAACCCAGGTGGAAGTCAGAAACCATTTTGTATGGGACAAAATGAAGCCATTCCTTCCTAACTACTGCGGGAAAATGGATAAGTGATCTTCCAGTTCAATAAGTTCTTTTTTAAAAGTGCTCTATCACATGTCTTGACAGGGAGCATACTATCCTACATTCAAGGTTCTTTAATCCAAAATAAATGTGCGACTCCCCGTGCTATTTTAACACTGCTTAGCTTTCAGAGTGTTTATCTCACAGTTCTGCATGATTTCTATTTCAGTGAGGATTTTCACAGGACTATGCTGTCGTTATATTATGTTAGCACTAAACACATACACACAACATGCTCAGGGAAACATTGTATAGAAAAAAGTGTTCAGTTTCTTTTAATAATGACATCTGGTTTAATTAGAGACATTTGGTATTCTCACTACAAACAAAACAACTCCTAAGTTGAAAAGATCTTTCAATTGCATGGAATAGTTTTCTTCCACATAAAAAAATGGTATCATGAAATCAGCACGACTACCCAGAGGGCAGGCCTTCTAAAAATACAAACTAATTTTCTTTTAAGAATTATTCATGTTTATTTTTTTGAGGACAAGGATTGGTATTTTCTGCAGAAATAGATCATTTACTTTGTTCTACTTGTCGATAGCTCTAGTAGAGGGCACAAGTTCTATATTGAAGGTATCAGACAAAACTTTTCTAAGGAAGTGTGGCTCTTACGAATTTAACGACAAGGGTCACTCCTCAGACTACAGTAGTGAACTTTCTGCTGGAAACCAGAATATCAATCAGACATCTACTGTATAAGGTTTCACCAGGCAGTGCAGGAAACACTGATCTCTAAAATGTTTTTTTTTTACTCTCCTATTGGATTTTCTGACTCTTATCAAAATCTGCATCATTTCTACAAAAAACACTTTAATGCACTTCTTTAAAAAAAAAGATGAAAGACTGGTCTGGAGAGAAAAGTCGAAATATCTCCTGAATGAAAAATGATATCTTTGCCGCGCTAGAGGTAAAATATACCATATGTGATTTCCATCTCACTTAACTCAATTTAAATCTAATTCAATTTATTTTAATGATGTTATTGATAACGGCATCACACTGATGGCTTTTTATTAATTCGAAACCCCAAACATTTCTTACCCAACAGAAAATGTAACTCGAGTTTACTGTACATTGCATTCTGAAATCCTGATGTCAAATGGTTAACTGTTGCTTCATCTCTGAGGCTGTGCAGAGCTGGCACTGGTGAGACTACAGCCCAGAAACTGCAATGTAGCACATAGAACTGAAGCTCACTAATCAATGGAATGCTTATTGTTTCACAGCAGTAAGTAAACAGAAGGCAATCCCCTTGAGATCCTTTATTTTCTTTCCTGTTTTCAAGCGATACAAATGGTTTTGCTTTTTAACTCTGCGACAGATTAGTTCTCAGCCAAGAATGACCCACACTGAAATTTCCTACAGTGTTGCTCGGCAATATCAACCACTGACCATGCCAGGTCTTTTTCTCATCTGGCATTGAGCACTAAGCAAATCAAGAGGATAGTGAGCAGTGAACACAATGCAATGCTTTTTCAGTGGGGTTTTTTTAGCCCGGAATTCTTATTGTGAAATATTCACTCCTTATTAGAAAATTTGCCAAAGCTCAAAATTCATCTCGCAGTGAGTCAGCTTCAAATTCCACCGCTGAACAGAGTGAGAAACCACAAAGCTCCCGTTCAAATAGATAACAATGCACATGCTGCCTTAAATGGAATAAGCAATATAGTATTTGCCTTCTGAAGACTCCCTCATCTACCAGCATATCCTCTTCCCATTATCATGAACAGGGCAAAGAAACAAAGCTCTTCCATGCTTCCACTCAGTGTAGCAAAATAAAAAAAATATTGATCTCATTTCTTCTTGCATTGAAAGCAGCAGTTTATATCACCTTTACCACACATTTGATTTTTTCCTGCCAGTGTTCTCTTGGAGTGTTCACAGCAGTTGCCTTTTTAACACAGGCATTCATACTGCCTACCTTTCCCATTACATCTGCCTTTGGAAAAGACTCGCTGAAGCTGAATAGCAAAGAAGACAGAATGAGCCAACTAGTGTCTCGGCAGGCTGCAAAGCCACTGGGGAGAAATAAGACATTTCGACGACGTAAGAACGACATATTGTTCAACTTCACGTTCTGTCTTCAGCCTCTATTTCTGCTTATTTTCCAGTTGTGTGCAATTTCCGAACGTTTACACTCTCTTCCCCTTTAAATCCCCTTTCAAACACAGTCTTGTTCAATGCAGTTACAGACTCAGTCCACAGGGCAAGCACCATAGCACTCGACAGTACAATGTGGAAAATATCACTAATTGTTCATTTTTACTGTAAATTTAATCAACAATACTTCAGTAAATTCTGATAACAGAAGGGTATTGTTACTCTGAAGAAAACCTTTAGATCTAAGTTGTCCTAGATTAGAATCTTTCTGAATTCACTTACTGGACATGGAAAGAAAGATGTACCAACTTACATTAATTTTGAGATGCAATGAGTCTGGTAACAGGGATATAACAGATGAACCATTAGCAAACATAAGCAAACGTAACCATTAGACAAAAAAGCCAAAGCACACAGCTTCTTTGCTGTTACAGTAACATAACTGAAACCTCAGTGTGGCAGTGTTTGATTTATTTCTGAAATATCATACACTTTGTTTATTTTATGGACTTTGACATACTAAGAGCAAATGCATTAAAGATAAGTATGTCTATTCAGAAATCAGAACATTTGTTTCTTCAAAAGTTCAGTCAGCTTGGCACAAAGAATGCAGTTATACCCAAAACATCTGCGAAGTTGTGTGGTTTTCTTTACGATGATTAAATTGAAGTGGTTACAATCATCACAGCACAGAAAAATAATAAAAATGTATACAGAAATAATATGCTAAACCAGAGAAATCTGATTGCACCACAATTAAAAACCCAAACTAAAAGGATTTATTCATTTGTTTGTATTCTCTAGTTATGTATAAAACCACAGAACAGACACAAAAGGGAAATATTTATTAAAGTTAATATTCTCACAGGCCACATGTCTCAGCATCAACTTCAATCTGAAATTTTACAATTTCCTGAATCCCAGAAGACTTGCAGGATTAATTTTAATTGCTGTATTGATAAATTGCATTGTGAAATACTGTATAAATTTTGATTTGAGAAACTGGCTTCATTTTGCCACTTCATGGTTTGTGACAAAGCTTAGAAAAAATGAGAAATACTACAGTGTTTTGAATGCAGCTAATCCTCTAATGAGACTTTAATGTATTACAGTAACAACCGTCACAGGTTGACATATTTTTAATTCTTCCTGGAACTAATAAACAGAAATGACACACTTCAGGATTAGGAAATGATGCAGGATTTTTGGCTTTTACAAAAGCACAATACGGTAAACTAAATCTTATACACGTAGGCCATGGATGATTCTTGAATTCTTGAAATTCAAAGTAGTTTGTTACAGCAGGACACTATAGGGAAAGTATGAAGTGAATTAGTAATTTAGCAGGGACTGGTTAAAAAAGCAAAGGTTAAGAGGTGAAGACTGAAAACCCAGAGCAGAGTTTTTAATAAAAGGTACCACTCTCTAGAATCAGCATGTTCCCAGTCAGAACAATTTGCCCAGGGTGTAATAAGCAAATGTTGTTATTTAATATACCACTTTTCGTTACCAGAGTAAATCTCTTTGAATATTATAGGTTGTGCTGCTTGTGATTTATAGCTTTGCTATATTAATGGAATTAGTCATGCTTGACCAGGAAGAAAGAGTCCTTCTGCATATGGTGGTTTGGAAACGAACCAATTGTAAATTCAGTTTATATTGAATGTGCAGAATAATTCAGCGTTGAATATTTCATTATGCGCTACAGCAGTTTTGGTTGGGTGGTGGAAGTTCGTGGAAGCTCCAGTGGCGAATGTGTAACGCAAGAAGGGTGAGCGCGAAGAGACCGAGAGAAATCGCTCCTGCTCCTTCGGGAAGCTGACAGCCTAATGAGAACATGCTGGGACAGGACGGGAGAGAAAAGGGTCTGGTCAGCTGCCAATGGAGGAGAGGGGATGGGCCCAGTTGGCACAGGGATGAGCGATCTGTCCAAGATGGGCAGCACCCTCTGCGGCCAGTTCCAATGTGAGCATCAAGAACAACAACAACGATAATAATAATTCCTTACGCTTATATAGCTCCTTTCAGGACACTCCACCCAAAGAGCTTTACAGGCAATAGGGACTCCCTTCCACCACCACCCAGGTGCAGCCCCACCTGGATGATGCGCCAATACGCTCCCCACACACCAGCTATCAGCGGGGAGGAGAACAGAGTGATGAAGCCAGTCCAGAGATGGGGATCATTAGGAGACCATGACTGGCAGAGGCCAGGGAGAAATATGGCCAACATGCCTACTCTTTTCGAGAAAAGCCCTGGGATTTCTAACGACCATGGAAAGTCAGAACCT